CTTGTATTACCATGCCCTATTTAGTTGCTTATTTCTTTTCTAATCATTTGGGCTATATTCACCTTCACCTTCCTCCTCCACTCCAAGTTTAAGTAACCTGTCTAGTACACAAACATTACCACAACACTCAAATTTATTACCACATGATTTGTACTTCTACCGAACAAATTAGGTAGGCATGGAAGGGCATGGAAGGCCTCCATGACTGGGGCCTTCCTCCCCATTCTGCCTGACTCCCTTCTCCTGGCCTTCAAACTCTGTACATTAATTGTATTGGACTGCTTGTGATCAAGCACATACGTATTCTGTTTCAAGCTTCTGTGCTTTTGTGTATCTTATTGCATCTGTCTAGAATGCCTTTCCCACTTTTCCAAATCTTCTGGCTAATTCTTTTTCTTTTTGGTACTAGGGATTGAACCCAGGGGTGCTTAACCACTGAGCATATCCCCAGCACTTTTTATATTTTATTTTGGACAATGGCTCACCAAGTTGCTGGGGCTGCCTTTGAACTTGAGATCTTCCTGCCTCAGCCTCCCTAGCTATTGAGATTACAGGTGTACCCCACTGCACCAGGCTCTTCTGGCATTCTTATTGGACCTTCCAGAGTTGACTGTCCTTCTGAGATCCCACAGCATTTTGTATTTAACTTTATCTTGATCTGTCTAGATCAATTGATCAACTTGCAAATGTGTCTGTCTCCTCTGCCTGACAGTAAACTAGGGACCATATCTTAATGGCCTTTATATCCCAGCCTCAAGCACTAGGCCTCACATATAAAAAGTAACATTGTGGGCTGGGGATGTGGCTCAAGTGGTAGCGTGCTCAGGGCATGCACAGGGTGCTGGATTCAATCCTCAGCACCACATAAAAATAAAGATGTGTTCCACCGAAAACTAAAAAATAAATATTAAAAAATTCTCCCTCTCTCTCTTTTAAAAAAAGTAACATTGTCACTAATTCTTCTATTTATTCTTTCTGAGTTATTTACCTCTCTTGATACTTCAGCTATACACTATTTTATTTACTTCTGTGCTATATTAAAATAAAATACAATGCTGGTTACCCCCAAATTCCTGTTTTGCACTCCAGAGCACTTATTCACTTTTTCATTTGCTTGGATAACATCTGTGTTTTAATGTCTCCTAGGAATCTAAAATCAACCAACCTTCTGCTAGTGTTCCATCTCTTGACTAGTAGCACCCTGTTGATCATGCCAGAAAATAAGAATCATCTTAACTCATTTTTTTTAACTCCTAAACATTAGGCCTTTTTGATTCCACTTTCCAAGATTATCTTGTTTTTGTCTCTTTCTCTCCCTACCTACTATCACTGCATCAACTGAAAGCTATATCATCTTTCAGGGGAAACCATGAAAAATTTTTAACTATATTCCTGTATGTATCTTGACTTCTCTATTTTATACATAACAGACAAGATAATTCTTTGAAAACTAAACCCTGGTTATTGTCCTTTGCTTAAACCAATCAATAGTTTTTAATTGTTCTTAGCAGGAAATCTGAAAATCTTTAAGCTGATCTATAAGTGCCTTTCTAACTTTTGTTCTTGTTTCCTTTAAGTTCCTCAAATTTCTGGCTTTTTCCCTATCTGGATGCTCTCTCCATCCCACTTCCCCCTTACTGGGCCAAACTCATACCTTAGCTTTAATATGGAAAGTATTTTTTCTGCTTTCCTTTATAATCATATTACTTATGCATGCATCCCTAAATAACTGTGTAGCCTGGCTTTTTCTGATACTTTACATAACTGAAATCACACTGTCTGCATCATTTTGTGACTTTTATTTTATGTTCAACATTATTTTTAAAGGATTCATTTATGTTGCTCAATGTATAGTTTGTGCATTTTCACTGTTCTTTAAATATTCCACATTTCCATAAAATCTATTCTAGATTTGATGAACTTTAGGGCTTCTGGTTTGGGATTATAATGAACTAAGAATAATGCTACTATGAACCTTTTGTACATATATCCTGGTCTATCTGAGCACTCATTTATTCAGGGTATGGATTAATGGGGTGCCAAACTATGTTCTACAGTAGACATTCATGATTATACTGTTAAGCCCGTTTTCCATTACTGTAATAAAATATTTGAGACAAACAAAGGTTTATTTTGGCTCATGTTTTCAGGTTTCAACCCATGGATGTCTGGCTTCACTGCTGTTGTACCTGTAGTGGGGCAGAACGTCTTGGCTGAGAATACATAGTGGAGCAAAACTGTCACCTCATGGCATCCAGAAAGCAAAGAAAAATAGTGGGAGGGTCTGGGGTCCCAATAGTGACCTAACTTCCTTGCACTAGGCCCTACCTCCTAAAAGTTCCATCATCTCCCAATACCACCCTAGACTGGCAGCCAAGCCTTTTGCATATAGCCTTTTGGAGACACCAAACTATAACACACTCCTAACCAAGAGTATTTAAGATTTATTGTTACTACACATCCTAACTGACACTTTTTAATTCATAGCAACCTGATAAAAGTATATTTTGTATACACGTATTATAAAATGACATTTTATAAATTGATAATACGGCAATATGTGGTCAATTGTTTCTAATGATGGCCACAACAATCCCTATTACCCAAATGCCCTTCTGCAATGTGATGATTTTATAGCTCCTCCATTAAACAGTGGCATCTCCTTCTCTTTTCCCTAAATGTGAGCTGGACCCATGATTTGCTTTAACTTATAGGTCTAGTCTTAAAAAGCCTGTCAACTCCACATTTACTCTCAGGGATCCAGCCACCCTATAAATAGGGTCAGTCTAGAATACTGAGTAATAAGAGACTACATAGGGGGCCAAATCAATCCCCAGTTATTCCAGCCATCTCAGCTGAAGTGTCAGACGCAGAGTAAAGCCATCTTAGACATCCATGTTTCAGTGGAGCTTCTGCTGAATACAGTTGCATAAGAAACACCAGCCAATACTATGCAAAGAAATAATAAATGGTTGTATTAAACTACTAAGCTGTAGATATTTTGTTATAAAGCAATATGTAGCTGAATCACAACATATCAAAAACTTTAAAATCTTAACTCTCTCTGTATCAGTTTCTTTCTTCCTATAACCTTTATATCTTAAAAATATTAGATGTCATTTTTAAATTTGTATAAATTTTCATGGTAGTGTCATTGGCATGTTTTGAAGTAGAAATGGCCTCTTTGTTCTAATTTAAAAGATTGCAATAAATTACAACACATTCATAAGATAGAATAGCATGAAACAAAACTACACTGAAAGGATTTTTGTTTTGCTTTGTCCATACATGTTTTTAATTGCTTCTTTTTAGTTATACATGACAGTGGAATCCATTTTGAAATAATTCTAAAAGCATGGAATATAACTTGTCCTAATTCAGTCCCTAGTACCTCTCTTACATTTTTCCTCCCCAACCCCCTGCCTCCTTACCTTTATTGATCTTTATGCCATTTACCCCTAGTTATTTTTTCAATTATTTTTTGTGGTGAACATGATGGTGAGATTCACTGTGGCATATTCATATATTATACAGGAGTGTTATGTCAGACTCATTCCACTATCTTTCCTTATTCCAACCCTCCTCCTTTTCCTCATTCCCTGAAAGGATTTTAATGACTTTGGAAAATGCCAGAGAAAAATACCAGGTGATTTTTCTTCATATGTATAAATTTTATTCCCAAGTTGTTAAAAAATTATACATAAAGGCTAGAAAAAATGAATACATTAACAGTGGTTTGGTGGTTTTGATTTGATTTTTCCTATTCTTTGAAAGTTTCTACAGAGCATATTATTTATATAAAGAGAGAAAAGAAACTAATGTTGTCTTTTTACATAAGAAGTTTGTAGTCAAACTTGGCATGTTCTGGCGGAGAAATTGTCAAGATGTGACACTCTATCCTTGGTGGCAATCAGTTCAAATTTCAGGAGCGGACTCAAAAGGTTTGGTAGCTTGGATTTTTGAAATTTGAACAACATTGAATTTTTAACTCTTTAACTTTCAAAATTAATTTTTAAAACCCTACTGTTTTTACTCTTGGAAGTAGTTCGTAAAAGAAAAGGTATCTTGGGGTCTTGAAAGTAGAAAGTATATAATCTTAAAGGACAATACACGTTTAAGTTTATGAATAACTCACTATGGTCTTTCTAATTTTCATTTTGTTGTGGATGGTAGAAACTCTGGTCCAAAGAAAGAAAAAAACAACACTAAAATGTAAAATTATACAGGGATAGCAAATGACATATACATTCTTAATCAGTAGGAAAGCATCTAAGTTTCCCAATAAAATCATCTTTGAAGTAGAGAGTAAAGGAACTTCTAGAGCCATGAGTCAAGATTGGCTTCTTTACAGCAGTGTTTCTTCAAGTGGAGGTGCTTATTAAATAATCAGCATCCAAAGCCCCATCCGAGACAATTGTTATTGAGTCTCTGTGTGAATGTGGCCTAAGGATTCTTCATTGTTAACAACATTCTCAGGGGAGTCATACATTAGAACTTGAAGGAAACACTGTCTTTGAGAGATTCTCTATGTTGATCCGGTTAGTGGTTACATGGCTGGAACATATGTAAAAATTCATCAAGATGTGCAATTAACTTGTTTATGTTAGTTACATTCTATTAAAAAGTAAAAAGAAACAAAAATGTTTCTAAAACATAATGTAGCCATTATGTTTTAGAAACATTTATAAATAATAAATCATTTATTATTTAGCAAATTTTAATTTACACTAGTAGCCATAATTTATACATTTGTATTGTACTGAAGCAGATTGTTTTGCATTTTTGTTAGCAAACTTGGGCATTGGTCATTTTAGAAAGACTTTTTGATGTATTTTTGGTTAGATTAATCTACATTTTTTTTAGTGGAAAAAGAATTTTGGTTTATAGCCAAATTTGTTTGGATACTGATATAGATAAAATTACTTTAAACGTTAAAATTTCATATTTCTTTAGAAAAATTATGATTCAAGTAAATAATACTTTTAAACCTTGTAGTCTTTGTTTTGTAAATGTGAAAAAATGCAAGTATGGGAGGGAAGAGAGGAAAAAAAATGGAAGAAACAGTTGCCCTCAGGACAAATACTCTAGCCCATACTCTCAAAATAAGACATTTCAGAAATTTTGATTCTTAAGTTAAATCTCTCATGATTTATTCTTTGATTGCCATTTAGAACAGCCTTCTTAACTGTGTAATAGCTATTGCAACATTTTATGTTGAAAATATTTTTGTTATTGTTTATGCTGGTAATATTATTATTTTTTAATTTATAAATATTTCTATATTAGAAAGAGAGAAGATGGGAAGAGAACCTTTAGGATTTTGTTGCCTCTAATTTTGGTCCCTGATTCATCATGCACCTTCACAATTTTATTTCTGTGAGAAAGAGGTCTGTTTTCTCTTGGAATGCACATTGTTTAAGGATGAAATGTTCGGAGTCTTTAACACTGTATTGGAGTGCCTCTTGAGTATTTAGCATCTGGATACAGCCGTCATCACAGTCATGAGAGATAGAGCAGGCCAGAACTGACTGTGTCCAGGGGAAATATCAGGACTAACACCAAATCTAACACAGCTCTTTCCAGTGTTGCAAAAATAATATATCAGTAAGACATCTCTATGAAAAACTTCTGCAGGCTTGTATCTAATTTGTATTATTGTCACCCAGCCCATTATATACCTGTAGTAGGAAATTCTAATAGTGAATGATATTATTATAACAATTTCAGGGGATTATAAATCATGATTTTCATAAATAAAATGGTTGAAGCCTATTATTGTTAACTGTTTTTCACATACATATAAAATAGTATCTTATCTTTCTCTATTAAAATAATAGTGCTAAAATATTGAAGGACTTCTGAAATCTAATAAATTGTCCATGTTTTCTCAACAATGATTGCCTTAGCATCACAAGAGAGACAAACTTCTAAGGGAGATGGCCCATCTGATTTACCTGTATACATTAAAAACACTTGTAATTCCAGCTACTTTGGAAGCTGAGGCAGGATTGTAGTTCCAGGACAGTACTGGCAACATAGTGGGATCTTGTCTAAAAAATAAAAAATAAAACAACAACAACAAAAGTTTATTTCTATTGCTATATTCTAAAAATCAGAAATATGTAATAAAAACAAACTGGGAAGAAAATAACTAAAATGTCTGGTAAAACAGCCAATTAAATATTATTATGCATGTATAAAGATACATCAAAAGTGAGATTGACAGATTATTACATTTATTTAGCACAATGACTAGCTCTTGCTTATGAATATTACAGTCCAACCAAGGGGTACTTATAAAATCCCAATTTACAGAGGAGAAGTTGAGAAACAAGAGTTAGATAACATGCCCACAGTCGCACCAGAAAGACTTGAGGGCAATAAGTCTGACTTAGGAATTCTTATTCTTTATCACTGTGGTGTGTGTGTGTGTGTGTGTGTGTGTGTGTGTGTGTGTGAGAGAGAGAGAGAGAGAGAGAGAGAGAGAGAGAGAGAGA